AGGAATGAACATGATGAATGAAAGAGTCAAACGATGGCCCCGAAGCCGGTAACGTCCAAGGATCCATCCGCGTGGTCGTTTTGCTTTCTCTCTCTCTCTCTCTCTCTCTCTCTCTTTCTACCCCTTCCCTATCCCCTCACCCCTTTGCTCGCCCTCTTTGACGCAGTCGCAGCTTTGATATTCCTGCCAGAATATCCCACTTATAGTTAGTGCATAAGCCTCCGTTTCTCTAGTCGTGTTCCCTCTTTATCCATCGTTCTAACAGCTTTTCTGTCCCCCCGTGTGCTTTCTCTCTCTCGCACCCTCTTTCTTCGAATCTCGCAACTATCCCCGTCACGCGTTTCCAGCTTTTCCTTCCTCCTCTCCTCACCGGCTCGGAGACATTCTAACACACGTGGCCACGGTTTCCTCGACGTTTCTCACCGACTCTTTGTCCCGTCGCGTCGTCTATGACGTTCAACTGCACGAAACGTTCCTTCGTGCGCTTCGCGTGGATAAAGCTGCACACGCCTCTATCTATCCGCCTTTAAAACGAAACGCGGGTCAAGGATCGTGGATTAAAGGATTCGCGAGAAGAGCGTGTCGTTTACACGCTGACGTGAATCCTCGCGGTTTTCCTCCGCTTCCTCGTCGTGCCGTTACGCGATCCTTGGATACCACGAACACCCGAGGGACCCTGGTAATTACGCCGATAAGAATCTCTCGCATAATTTACGTGGTTCGAATAACTTTTCAGCGTCGCGGTTTATTCTCCTTTTCTTCTTTCCGTGGCAAAGATTGTGAAAGAGAGAAAGGGAGCGATAAGGTTCGATCTATGATTCGACGAAGAAAGGGAGAAGGGATGGGGGGTGAAAAAAAGTTGAACGCTTGATAGTTTCGACGAAACATAAAAGGAAGGGAAAAGGAAAGGAAAAGGGTAAAATTGGTCTGGACGAACGATCGACAGGAATTTCCAGGGGTCCCGAAACGATGGAGGTCTCCTCGATCGTGGAACACGCCCACTTTTTCGCTGTTCCAATTAGTCCAGAACCCTTGCGCACGTTTTATTTGGTAGTTGATTGGTGTGGCGGGAACAGTAGTGGGAATTAATGAAGACGGTTTAGGGGTAGGACATTGCAGTTATTGGCCCTCGAATAATTCCGCCAACGTTGGCGGATTTTACAGACATTTAGTCGACTATGCAATTAACACCAGTGATACGATCGATTAGACTGGCAATATGGCAGATACGTTTATTATATGATCGATACGGAAATTACGGAAATGAAAAATGGGAATAAATGGTTAAAGTAAATACGTTCTAAGAGATACAGAAATTATAAATAATAAAAATAATACAATGTAATCGAGATATTGAAAAAAAAAACATAGATATGAACATAGATATATATATATATATATATATATACAAGAATCTAAGTCAAAACTTATAACGTCGTTTAATCTTATCTTGCACTACACATTCTTAAGACGTCCAAATTAATATCGTAAAATGTTTAAACTTAAAATTGACGTTAAATGGATATCTTTAACGCGTCGTGTGCTATTTGAGTAAATTTATCAATTAACGAAAGCAGTAGAAGTAAAAGCGTATTAACACTCGAGAAAGAATACGAAGGGAAGAGGAACGATGACTCGATAATTGGATGATTCGATGGTTAAACAGTGTTATCGTGTGTATCTCGATTATAAGGAAAACTCGTGTCTCTGTATAAACGTCTGCGTCTGATATTCGCAGACGCGCAAGTTTTTTAAGTTCGAAGGGGTCACTCGAGGATTCCCCATACATATTCATGGCGAATATTTACTTAAGGCCAGAAAAGAACTGTTAAGAACGAAAGCAACGTATCGCATTAATACGAGGGTCCTCGGAGATCCTACGAATACGTAGGTATATGCAAATGACACCATTCCCGCCGGGGAAACCTTTAAATCACACATCGAGGCTACCAATAACACGTCGACGATCATAATACAAGACAGCCTTTATGCTCGGTGTAGCAGCAAGAGTAGCAAAACGTTCGTCCTCGAGTTTAAAAGGATCGCGTTTTAAGTACCGTAACATGCAATAACAGCCTTTCATCGGATATAATTCGAGTCAGGATTAAAATAACAAATAGAAGAGAGAGCGACGCGTGTTGCGCTAGCGTAATCAACGTATATTGTTAACCGTGTACCGACAAGTTTTCATATGAACGAAGTCTGTTAATCGTTCCCAGAGAACCAGATTCTCGCGTACATTAACATGCCATTGATATCTCGTCGATTCTAAACGGACAAGCAGTTTCGTACTTCTTCGCGACATCGTACCGACCGTCATTTCGAATTTACATCTTATTATGCCGAGATAGAAATAGGAGAAAAGGAAAAAAATATATATAAGATACGAGATTCGCGAAAGAGAGAGAGAGAGAAGAAAAAGAGAGGAAAAAAAAAAAACTTACAAAATTATACAATCATCAACGATGAAGGAGATACGCGAACAAATTACCGTGACGGGATTTCAAAGATCTCGGTTATTCAAATTTCTTCTCTTCCCACCGTGTTTTCCCTTATCTCCGCCCGTTCACCGGAACGTTCAACGAAAACGCGAAATAAATGCAGACACACGAAGCGAATCCTTTTCCCTTCAAAACGTATGTCCCGGCAAATTTATACATCACAATTCACCGCGCATTGCGGCCATTAACGCGTCGACGAGCAGGCAACACGACGGGCATTGCAAGCCATCAACCTCCATGAGGAAACCGAGAATGCCCGGTCCAAAGTACCAAAAGGAGCCACGCCGTGCTTTTATCGCGAGTAATTCGGGCCACGATCGTACGTATACGGTGTCTAATAAATTCGTGAATGGCCGGCCAGCGACTGAAATGTCGCTACACACCCACGCCTAACGCACACGAAGTATGCCTGTACGCGCGTTACGAAGGGCTCCCTCTTCTTTCCTCTCTCTATGGCCTTTCGACATCGTGGCTGTGTGCGCGCGTGCCCCGGACTCGAGGTTGTTGGCGTTCGTTGCGCGCTTAGGGTGGGTACCGACGAACCGACATGGGGGCACCGAGAGAGCGGATATTATCGCCAAACGTTAATTTGGTCGAGGCCCGGCCTACCTTCCAATTTTCGAGCCCTTACACGCCCACTTACGAGATTGTCCGTTAATGCTCCGAAACGTCGGGACGCGTTTTCGACGCCCGCGTTTTACCGCCACGGAGAAGAGGTTCGCGTACTTCACCGTACAGCCGACGGCTACGTATGTGAGAATGTATCGTGGACGAGCGTCTCTCTAGAACCCCCTCGGCGAAAGAAGGTTTGTACGAGGCACACGTGTGCATACGTTGAAAGAGCACGCGTGAGTATATGTGCGAGAGTAAATAGAGTCGATTGGGCAAGTCGTCGTGCCTTGGAAGGATAGCAGATCTTCAGGTGTTAGAGATTTCTAGACTCCTCCCTACTATCTCTTGGAGATAGTAGACTACTGGGAACTCGAATACAGTTCTTTTTTGTTGAATTTTTAAAGGTAAAATTTCAAGCGCCAACTTCTATAAACGGCAGACAGTTGAGAGGGAGTCTTGTAATTAGAATTGCAAAATCTAGAGGAGGCGTGTCGAAAAATTGTGAAGAAAAACCAAGGTTTTTTTTCCTCGTGATGGGGAAAAAAATTCCATAAACGCGATATAGATAATGATATCTCTCGATAACGCGCAGAAATATAATCGAGTGTTGGCCGAGCAAGGGCACTTACATGAAGGATTCGCGATAAAATTAAATGGAACGTTGCGAAAAGGAACGACACGCCCGATTGGCCGCTAAGAAAACAGGGAAAACCGTATTTCAACTGTGCCTTAACATTCCCCCGTGCGCATCACACTCGCCCGCGCCTAATTTATGTAACACAGAACAAATATACTCGTGGCCGCGCGTACGTGCAACGTGGTCGCATCAAAGAAAATAAATACGGGACGAAACAAGTGGAGCGACCGCGAGAAGCAAGAAAATAGTTCGCGCAGCGGTTCGTAGACCCGAAATAGGGCGGTGTGAACAGCAGGAAACTTTACTGTATACCGTGAAACGTGGAGTAAGAGAGAACGTGTGTATTGGCGTGTGTGAGCGCTGTTGGAAAGAACCGGTTATATAGAAACCGTCCTCCACCTTCTCCACCTTCTTCTCCTTCTCCTCCTCCTCCTCCTCCTCCTCCTCCTCCTCCTCCTCCTTCTTCTTCTTCTTCTCCTCCTCTACTTCTTCCTTCTCCTCTTTACCTTACCTTCCCTTCCACTCTTTCGCCGACCTTTCGTTCCATCCTCGCCAAGTATCCAGCGAGCCCCGCTACATAATACAGCCTATACATATATACAAACCCGATTGTATGCGTGCCTCCGTGTACATAGGTGCAGAGGCTGTATGTACACTTACGTGGGGTCCCGACACCATGGGCGCCTGCCTATCTGACATTGGGTGCCTACGAGGGCGAGCCTCGTGTCGTTTCTTTTTCTCCCTTTCCTGACCTGGCTACCGACGGATCCGGAGGAAGAACCGTGCACTCCTTCCTCCCGAGAACCTCCTTCGAAGGCGTTGGAATTTCGCAAACGTATTCACGAGGATAACCTCGTTTCCGATACGCGAAACTATCGTGTATCGCGCGGATATCCCGCGGCGAAAGAAACAACAAAACGTTGAGTGATTGTTAACGTATTTAATCGTACCGTATGATATTCGATGATTAATTTTTTATCCGATACGTTTTGAACGTTGGGCGCCCGGAGATGGAGGCGTTGGAAATATAAATGATTCTTTTGGCTATTGTTAGAACTTGGTTCGATCTTTCTCCCCTCCGTGTTGGATACGTATGTATGTGTGTGTATGAGTACACGTACATCCTGTGGCCCCGCTATTTAGACTTAGATTTAATTTTTAATACACGAGCCGAGCCTCGTGTATTACGTTCAAAAGGATTGCATTGAATATTATTCTTTATTTCACGATCATCTGTTTTTCTGTTACAGATTTCGAATAGACAACACGGACCATATAATAGACGTGAACAAGAACAACGCGGCGTTCGAGTACGATCAAGTGAACATAATATGTCCTGTGTACCAGCCAGGAACGTATGACGAGGACGCGGAGAAGTATATTATTTACAATGTAAGTTCCAGTACTTTGTATTGTATCGTAAATGCGAAGAATCTCGACGTTGGTTAAAAAAAAAAAGATTGTCACGAGTCCGAGCCTGTGTATCCTGGCCCGCCACAGTGGGATCAACAGATAAATCGAGTTACACGACTGTTGTTGACCCATTATGCGAAATAAAAAATTGTCAAAGGGTGTTCCGTGTTGTTTAGACAGCTGTTACTACTCGAAACTCGTTCGTTAACTCGCTCGTATCAGACCCCCAGAACGACTTCCGCTTCGTAGCCAACTTTTGACGCCGTGTCGCCCTTCGAGGGGATGTCGGAACGTTGTTTCACCCGCTCTTTAAAAATATTCATGACGAATTACCGCGTAGCAATCATTCCTTAATTAGGGAAACTCGTAACGATGTTTGTACGCGGGACAAAAATCACCACGTTTCATAAATCAAATCAAAGTTTCCAGGGAAACTTTTATCCCTTCCTCTTTCGCTTTTATCTGAGATTTCTACGCCTAAAGCAGCGACGCAAGCACCACGAATCATCGTCGGGATCTAATCACCGTCTCGATATCCTTCCCTCCTCGCATTGTCTCGATAGCGTTCGAACCCAACAACAGATATTTTCTCCCTCTTAACTGTATATCGAGGGGGCCGAGAAACACGAATCAGCTCTTTCTAACAGCTATGCGTTACGGAGAACGGGAAAGAATTGTGAAAGTCGTCAAACAACGAATCCTCCGCAAGAAAATCTTTCTCTCTAGAATCTTCTACAAAGAATTGTCGTTTGTATAGAACCCAATAAAACAAAAAAAAAATAAATAAATAAATAAATAAAAAAATAGAAAAAACATTGAAAGAGAAGGCTATTACGTGACAAATAAATAGCGTTGCCATTCGATTCGCATCGGTAGCTTGTGCTTAGATGCATCATGTGTTTCACAGGTATCCAAAGAGGAGTACGAAACATGTCGGATAACAAATCCGAATCCGCGAGTGATAGCGGTCTGTAACAACCCGTATAAGACTATGTACTTCACGATCACCTTCAGGCCGTTCACACCGCAACCCGAAGGCCTGGAGTTCCTGCCAGGCCACGATTACTATTTCATCAGCACTTCGTCCAAGGACGATCTCCACAAACGCATCGGTGGACGATGCACCAGTAACAACATGAAGGTGGTCTTCAAAGTGTGCTGCCGCAACGAAGCTGACACCTCGTCGTCATCAGCGACATCGCGCAACAATTGTGAGTATTCATTTTTTTTCGAATAAAAATATCAATATTCATCCCATAGATACTCGAAATTAAATGGGAAGTGAAAATCAAATCCCATTTACAACGATCGTTCTGTAACCTATCCTTATATCCTCGTGCAACGAACAAAAACCTCTGTCCTACCGCAAGGAGTCATTTCACATGTACGACCAGTATTCTAATGGATCTGATTATCATAATCTGAAATTATAGTCGTTGTCTACGTCGTCTGCGCCGCCTTTTCATTTCGCGTGTAAATCACGTTTAAGAACCTTCACGGTTTCGCGTCAATGCATCAGCTCACCGTGTTCACGAGCAACAGGGGGATGAAGCGAATCGGAAAAAAAAAAGTCTACGTCATAAATTCATTATCTCCTAATCAGTTACAAAGGGGAGGACCTTCCGTAACGACAGACGGTCGATTCCTTGATCTTCCGCTTCGAGCACAATTCACCCTCCGCGACCACCTCTGTGCTCCTCCCCTCTTAAATAATCCCTATCAATTGTAATTGTTACTCGTGCACCATTTGTTGCGGTTAGAGGACCGAACGCTGACCCACAACACAATAAATTCCACTATTTCATTCTAGCCCGCGATCTCTTCTCTCCCTAATTCGTTCCAACCGTTCTCCCGAGACACCTTCTTTCACCTTCTTCCTCCCTGCCACCGGCCCAACACTCGTCGGAGACGATTCATGCGCCATAATGACTAGCTATTTCGCCGGCCGAGAACTCTGAACTCCCTTTCTCTCTTTCCTTCTTCCATCGAGTCTCGGGCATTCAAGATTCCACGAGGCTCTCCCGACCTCGAAATCCTTCCGCGGCTCTCTACTGTGTTGTGTTCATTGCGGGATCAGAGCGTGAGCACGCTCGTGTACGATGCTCTACGATTACTATCAACAGCCACGAACCGCGAGAAATGCTAATCTCGCGGAAAATTTCAGACGGGCTTCTCTTCTTTGCGCCGCGAGCGCGACCGCGGCGAAAGACATTTACGCCGGCAATTAGCCGACGAAAATGCGAAATTAATCTTCGACTTTATTCCACCGGTGAAGGTTCGTTCTCCTCCTCGCTCTTTGTGCTTGTGAAGTTTCGACCGTGTGTACGGAATATTTGTCATTCCTTGTGTCCTACCATGTTTTCTTCTCCCTCTTCCTTTATAGTTTTATAATTAACAGTCGATCGGTTTTAATAAATGAACCGTAATCTCCGATAATTAAATTAGTCCTTGAAAATAAATTCTTATATAAAATAATATAAAAATATATCTTTTTATTCCATAAACGTTTTTAAACCAAGCAGAGTCGCACGCAGAGTCAAGAATCCACGCTCCTCGGTCGGTTTCCACGTTGCGAGAACCACAAATCCTACCTATCAAATTTTTACGATACCGCCTTTACGGTTATAACTGTAACGGTTTACGCGCGATTCTACTATTACGCGTACGGATGATCGGCAAATGATCGGCAGTCCGATTAAATAAAATTTAACGGGCGCAATCATAACCTCGTCTGTATTTCGATTCGAAGCCCGTTTTAAAATAACCGAACCTTACACGCTCGCATCTATGTATATACGTACATAGGTAATTGAAATCGATGGCTATTCACCGGACACTCGTCCCATTTACGAGCAATCGTCGACGCGGTCGCGTTGGAACGCGCGATTCTCCCCGTTGAAAATTACGCAAAACCAGTGCGCGATTTGGCGTTTCCACGAGTTAAAATCGAAACTTGTTCGTCGACGCGATGTTATCCTAAATCATTCGACTGGAAACACCAACGTGAACAACGAACGATGTTCGTTGCGCGGGCGCGCGTAACAACAGTAATCGAGACTCGGTTGGAAATTGCACGCAACTCGTGAACCAGGTAAAAAAGTGGCGGTGAGATTACACGCTAAAATTCAATAGCCGCAACGAAGTATACCCGAGGCCACGGCGTTATACCAGGCAACGTTCTGAAAAAAGGCCGTCCTGACTCGCGAGCATGACAATGTAATAAGAATGTTAGAGAGATAGGAAAATGTTAATGCCGATCCGTGTGTCGTATTTCAGCCGTGGCCGTAACCAGCAGCACCGTACCAAGCAGCAGCTCGACCAGCACCGCTGTTTTGGGTGGAGGAGCCGCTGGAATACCACCCCCGCCACCACCGAGCGTCCTCAAGGGCGGAGATCGATTCTACCCAGGGGGCAGCATTCATCATCATCACGATCATCATCAACCGGCCACGGCGGCGCCGACCCTGCCCCACGTGCCCCCTCCGGCCATCTACCCCGTGCATCCGCATCAGCCTCCGATTCACAATGGACCTCCGTCCTCCTCGCCGCCCAAGACCTCGATCGGCCAGAAGAAGAAGAACAGTACGTATAACACACCGCCCCACCGACTCTTGCCACCTGCTCTCTTTGCCGCGAAACGAGTTTCTCGATGCTCCTCGCGACCATTATCTCGGCCAATGATTCTTTCATTTTTTTCTCTCTCCCTCCTTCTATCTCCCCTTCACTCCCTACTTGTTCAATCCCTCCTTTTTTTTCTCTCTCTCTCTCTCTCTTTTTTTTATACTCCTTTTATTTTCTTACGCGAAATTTCTCTCGTCGTCGCGTCTCGTCGAAATTAATCGTGGAAAAGAAGAGGCTTCTTTCATTCGATCGACGCGAATTAAATCTACGATTAAGTCTACGATTATCCGTTGAATCGGTCGAATTTAATTATGGAATAGAGTAACGAGGAATTATAGTTAAAGCGATTTAATAAATAATTAAGTAATATTTGTATATTAAAGGGAAAATGATCCTTTCCCTTATCGATATGTGGTTAAGGTGTCTTTAATCGTCTCTTTCTTTTTGTCCAATTTTGATAATTATCACTTTGTATCGGCATCAGTGTTGCATAAAATTAAGATAAACCACTCGTACCCGACGTATTTACTGCTCGTTATTTTTGTGTAAACCGTTTCTTTTTCTTTTTCGGGCGAAGAAATCAACGCGGTTCGTTATTAGCATTGCATAATTGATAGTTTTTCTTTTCGGAAATACGGCAAGCGCGGGTCCATGATCGTGCGAAATCTTTCTTTTCCATCGTCCGTTCACCGAGTCAAAGAGGAACGTCGTCGACGCTTCGATCATTAAATTACCGTTATGTAGCTGAACGTGACGGTCCATTGCGTGCCAAACAATCATTTTACGTAATTTATTCGGCTTATCGTTCGGTCGTATTAAATCGGATAAAATAAATAACGAGCAAATAAATTTTAATGAGCTTTAAAATTATATTGTCCCTTTTCGTAGCTTGTTCTACTTATTACAATCGCCCGATACTTTATATGAATTATGTCAAAATGAATGATCATTTACATTGGTTGATCGCACGTGAAATTTTTGAAACCATACCACTCGTGAAACCATACCTCCATGATCGAGGGGTTAGTCCGTAAAATACGATTTTTCTTTCACATTTAGATCCAATTTTTGATCCAATTCTGATTTCATTAACTTTAACGATTGATAACAAAATTCGAAATATAATCGAAACTTGAATAAAAGTGGCAATCCAATTGGATTTAAAAATTGGATTTAAAAGTAGGATAATAAATTTCAAATATCTATTGCATAACACAAAAAAAAGGATTAAACAGAGGAAAAATATCGCGAACAATAGAAAAAAATTATCTAAAAAATTTCACGTAAAAAACGTCTAATAGATAGAAAGGGACCCTTTCAACTCTCGAAATATATACTAGATAAAGAATAATCAAACAAGCTAGAAAATAATCAAAAGTAGTCAAGGTTTCAATTCAACCATCTTTCTCGATGACCATCTGTCGCTCTTGTATATTCTTGTATACTTTTGTATACTTTTTTTTTATGTTATTATCTATGATAATTTGACGTGAAAATGCAATGTGGTGGATGCAATGCACACACATTTGCATTCCATCGATAGCTAAGACATGGTCATTAATGAAGTGATCTGCCCGGTTCGAGATTCAAAAAAAAATTCGTGTTCCCAAAATGTCGAAATAATTCGAGACGGATTATTCCGTCTTTATTTAATAATAACGATTTGAATTTCTCAATGCTTGTATTTTTTTAATTTCGAAATCCAATCGTATCCCACATAATTCGTGATTTAACGATCGTGATAACGATCTATGCGATATCGTAATGCGTTTCATTTCATGCAGAAACAAAAATTGATAGTAATTACTCACCTATAAGCCGGAACCTGGAAGTTGAAGTTGAAGTTCCGCTCTGATATCATTCCGCTCTGATATCGACAGATATAATTCGTTGACTCTTGTAATGAAGTAACTTTTTCTACCAAAGCTCGTGGAAGTTTTGTTTCAAATTGGAGAAATTTGAAGAAATTTCAAAATGTTCTTGACCTCTTTCCTTAAAATTAAAATAACATTATGTTCATTAAATATATAAAAATGAATTTAATTTGAAAGAAAAAATCCGGAAGTTTAAAATATTGTAAATAAGAATCTAGGATCTTGGAATTATTAGTTATAATGCATAATTAAAAGCAATATTTTAATTTTCATATTATTGAAATTTTTTAGAACAAATATTCATCGAGTATTTTCATTTAGATATGAATCTATTTTTTAAATTGAAATTTATTTACTAAATTATTAAATTACTAATAATTAAGATATTCATAACCTATTTTTTTCCAAAATCTTAATCTATTTTTTCGCTTAATATTTGATGAATTAAATGATTATCGATTATTACATACAATTAACAATTATTTTCTTTTTTGTGTTTATAGAGGAATATTCAGACCACCCTAACGAAGTAGTAAAGAACGAAGAATTGACTTATAATGGATCGAGTTCCAGCCGTGTTCAAGATTGGTACAGCCAATTGTTGGTAGTGCTGATGGGAAGCTTGTTGATCAGCGCGATTCTGCCGCAATTATTGCGGTGAAGTGACAACATTACTGACGAGAACGTATATCTCATACGTCGAAACCCCTTTTTCTGTGATTATCCTACGTTTAATTAATTTCTTGAGGCACGCGTGTGCACGTGCACTCGCGCGGCCGTCCCTCGATCGTGAAAAATAAAACGTGCACGATTTATGGTCGGACTGCCTCGAGAGAAAAAGAGAACGAGAAAATTTAATCGGGATGGAAGAAAGACAAAAACGAATAACTTTAAAAAAAAAAACGAAAATTTAATGAAAATAAAAGAGAATACGAATTTAAGAAGAACGAAGAGTTGGTAAAAAACAAATAAACGTTAAATGTCAAGAGAAGAGACACGCACGACACACGAGCAGCAACGCCATATTGAAACTATTCGAAACGAAGAAAGAAGATGTAGCTAAGATTGCAAAGACGAAGAAAGACGAAATGAGAAGAAACGCTACTACTAGACATTATTATAGTATGCCCACTATTATCACTACTATAAATGGTAGTCGTATTGGTTGTCCTTCTTATCATTACGCTAATTCTAGGTATTTATTGGAAATACGAAGAAAAAGAACAAAGTGAACAGCGTGCTAACTATCCTCAAGCGAGATACAATATATCTATAGTAATAAATGATAAATATATATACGTCAGAAAAGCGCGAAAATTCTTTCCTTTAAAGACCATAACCTCGCGCATGAAAATTTCAGTTAAATCGAATTACTGATGATAATATTGATTGACGAACGATTCTTTGTCACTCATTCCTTTATCGCTTATGGAAATAATATTGTAACTGACAAATCGATTAATCACTTTAATTTAAAATTTACATAAGAAGCTAATTATTAATTAATACAAATTAAATTAACTTGCTATTTTAGTATATATATAGTACTTACCATTTATTTTTTCTATAATATTCCCACTCACATGTCACGAATGTAAATTTTTTTACTTCACTGTGAAGATCATGTCGAGCACTGATCGTATTCGTTGCGATAATCGAATCAAACGATAAGTTACGATTGATCGCGACGTCAGCGCCAATAATCGAATCGAAATCTATCGAAGAATATTGTAATGGCGGAGAATCGTTCATACTCTGCCAAGAGTCGCGACCAGGATAATTAGCACGCGTGTAAATAAATTCCTAATTAAATATGTACAAGTGACTCTTGCCTCATCTTAGAGGTAGAGGAATTTAAGAGAGTGCCGTATAATAGGTAAAATCTTATATATGACACGTGAAGAGTGCGTGAGTGAAAATGGCGAAGTGTGATAGAGTATAACGTGTGTGTGTGTGTGTTATGAGACACGTGTGACATTCGAAAATACAAGGATCGCTCATTGCATAGTCGAGTGTTACAAAATTATGTAAGGTGCGACAAATCTGTAAGTTCCGACCGCGGTTCTTGCAACCGTGACACTTTCACGAATATGTGAAGTATTGTCATGAAAAAATCCGAAATTCCTCGCTTCAATCGAATTCGTCGAAAGAAGAACGAGCGAACGAACGAAAGTATGGTAATGTATGAAAGAGAGACTGATCACGAAGCGAGAAATAAAAAATAAAATTTTTGTATTATAGTTGTATCATACCGAACTTTATCTATAGATCTGTATTATATTTATTATCCGCTATCATTACGCTACGAATAATCACACTCGATATTCTATATTTACTAGTAAAAGAAATATCAAATTTAATAGCGAATAAATTGCGTATTCGGCGGGATAATGATAAAAAAAAAAACGACATGATGCGAGTAAAACGATGAATTTTTGACTCCTATAATCATCGAATCCGCCATTTGTTGTTTTCTTCATTTTTCTTTTTTTTTTATTCTCTCGTATTATATCGTTCAAAAATGTTGAACATGCACGTTCAAATGCGTACTTGAACATGTGCTCGCGAATTCAACAAATTAACCATGCAATCATCGATTTTATTTGTATCATCCTTCGTATTGCATCATTGTCTCTATAGTTCTTTTCTTTCTTTTTTATATTCTATTTATTATACACCGCCATGCAAACTTCATTTCCATACGCGTACTAACGAACGTATGCGCATGAAAATCGCATTTATTTGTAAAACATACGGGATTACATATATACATGCACAGTGGTCACATTCGTTACACGCGATTCGCTCCGGTCTGACGCATGCGCCGATAACAACGCCCTCTCTTCATCAAGCTTCGTTCACACTGAAATCGCAAATGATGTCGTTATAAACTAATATAATTCTAAAGCGTTTTTTCTACATTATTGTAAACGTAATCATTTCTCTCGATCGTAATCACGGATCTATATTTCTATTGTTCACAATATTGGCATAATCATTCGGCAAACGTCAAATATGTGTCTTGGATTTTTAATCACGCGAAACATATTACCATAATACAATACACAATGCATTGTTGTCGTGTAATCTATAACTTTTGAATTTTTTCCATCAATAATATTGGTCACACGATCACGATAGCACTATTTTGTATAAATATATAATACTTACGCGTATAGCTCAATTTCGGGAATGATAAATTGTCGTTTCGCAACACATGTGCATTAATATTATACATTTTTTCGTGTTGGTATATCTGACGACTGATTAATCATAATTGACAAATCGTATTTATTAAGCTTATATTGATGATACGAAAATCAGGAAATATAATTGTACATATAACCTAGTCTCAAAAATGGATCCGTGAGTGTCAGTGTAAACGAAGCTTAATAGATACGTATAATTGTTTCCGCGCGTATGAAAATGCACACAATGGCCGAAGAGTGTTCAAGGATGCGAAGGATAAAAACAACAAGGAGCAAATAATCGTTTTGCGTTGGCCACAAGAAAAGAATTCGATGGAACGATAATTAGAGTAATGAATTATTGTAAATACGAATATGCGGAGAGAATTACATATTGTATAAGGCAGAGCGACAGAATGCGAGAAACAGAATGAAAGTGAGAGAGAGAGAGAGAGAGAGAGAAAGAAAGAAAGAAAGAAAGAAAGAAAGAAAGAAAGAAAGAGACCCCTAATTCCGAATCGTAGATAATAAAGAAGAAATGTATTCTGATGGTTGCTCGATTGACCGACTCGTTTTCATCGTTCATTGATGGTTTATCGTCCTTGATTATACGCGGCAATTAAATAAAAATCAATGGCCACGATTAGCCGGGAATGTTGAGGGAAACGGCGGAAATCAAATGCGTGTATAATGTTATCCATTACAGTATTGTAAGCCTAAGTATTACATGCCTCCGATCCACGTCTGTTTGTCTGTCTGTCCGTTCGTCTGTCTACAATTTATACTTTTTACCCATGTGTTAACCGCAATAGCAATTTCGTACACATATATGAGCGATCGATGATGAGAAAGCAGTTCACAACGATACCACGATTCCATAGAATATAGAATCTCATAATCACATTTCCGTTTCGTTAATTATAGCTACTATACGATAAAGTTTCTTTTTAGTTTTCTCTCTAGTCGTTTTTTTTTCATTTGCACTCATGTACTTACACACGTGGAATTGTTTGTGAATCGCTGATCAACCCGCAAATCGAAATCCAAAGACAATCACCTGCACCATTGTAAAGAAAAGCGTTCAGAGTCTCAGCGTAGTCTCAGTCATCTATTATAGCATTACAATATCCATTAGATATATATATATATGGTTCGTTAACCTTTTCACACGAAGTAGTTAACACACGATTGTACAAAATGTTTCTCATATACAAGTTCGCTTTGCGGGTCTCAGAGGATATTACACATACAGTACATACATTTGTAAAGGGATGCAAATAATAGAGTACATTTATGTTTTTAATCGTTATAATCGACGATCCATGTAATAATTATACATCTCAAATCGTGGATGTATCGATTGAACTGCTTTGGACGGCAAAAATTATCGATCGACTCGATAGCGAATTAATCAGAACCAGCGTGAAAACCCGTAATCAATTAAACATAAATGCAATAGCAATGCAGCAAAGTTACATAGATCCAATGTGAATGGTACTCATTCTTACGGACGATAGGTAAATATAAACAATAATATAGACTCGAACTATCGATAGAAAATAGACAAGATCACTCACTGCAATTTATTTTTATTTTTCTCTCCTTCATTTATTTTTATCTTTTTTTTTTTTTAATTTTTTTCGACCGATTTGCTCTAAAAGCACTTCCATCCACACTCCGATCCCATCACTACCGACCACGTGAAACGCTGTTCCTCGAAAGTTATTTTTATAATCGTGAACAGGGACAAGCATTGTACCATAAGGTACTTAAATCGTTAGTAGAAAGTATATGTATATAGATATAATAGAAAGTTTAACGATACCGATATTAATAAAGAACACAATAATAATCGTAATATCATCGAAGATTACGATTAATCAAATCGCGCGTTAAGATTAGTCTTCATTGTTAATCATGTATACACATCATTGTATACACACAGGTAAATATATACACACGTTGCAAATTGCACGTTTTGAGCAGAAATACATGAAGAATAAAATGAGGAACAGGTTTCACGATTTTCTAACCCAAAGACGTTCGAACCTCTTTTCATTGATGATTTTTTTTTTTTATGATTTATTTTTGCTATTTCATTGTGTTATCCTCTCGTGTGCGTGTTTAGGAACAATGCCAAGAGATTAGAGATCTTGGAGTAAGGAGATCACAACACGTGATTATCGTTACGTTCACGAATGGACTTGTTCCTCTCTTCTCGAGACAAAGAATATAAAAAAGGAGATGAGATAAAATAAGCATTAACGAGAAAGAAAGAATTATGAGGAAAGAAAATATGAAAGGATCGATTAAATTAGATATACCGCGTCGAATTGATAATATCGCGGATTTATTGAGCGTAAAAATGGAATCGAGATGATTTCGTAGGTACGTCATTGTAAATAAAAAAAAATGAAGAGAAAAAAACAAAAAAGATTACGATCAATAAACGATAACACGATGAAATTTATATTAAATACATAGCAAGTACGAGGATAGGTTTCTAATAACGATTTATTATAAAAGTGAATGTACGTTGATGTCTAAGATTTTTAACAAGATGGAAAAAAATAAGAAAAACACAAAGTGATTATTATTAAACTATGATTATTAACTCATAACCGAGAAACACAAGTACTAATTAAACAAGAGAGAGTTTGAATACAGAACCACATTTTTTAGCCAGGTCATGAATTTTCTCACGTTGCATATATTACTTTTGTAACAGGTACATTACATAACACATATGATCACGGTCACAGAAACCATATAAGAGACACCGCGTTATCATGAAGCGACCATTAGATTTCTTTTTTTTTTTCTTGAACATGATATGTGAACATATAAATTAAAAAACAGTTGCGATATCATATTTATACATATTTATACAAGGAATAAAAAAATTCCAAAGATGATATATGATTTTTTTGATTAATCAAATTGATATAGATATTATTACATAGTCCTGAGAAACAAACTATCAACGATTTATATAATTTGATCGATTAACTTTGTTTAATAATCAAGTCAAGATTTTTAGTTTTCAATTATGATATAGGAATATTTAAAAAAAAAAAAAAGAAGAGGAAACAAGCTAAAAAAATAACGTGGTTCACTTGTGGTATTCGTGAACGAGATCGATTATAGATTGCGTGTATTCACTAAGTATGCACGTTCAGTACAGTACAGTCGTTCATTACAAAGCATTACAAATACAATACAAAGTAGCGTAGTGTTCATAATGGTAGTCCACTTGTAGCGAAATAGTGTTTAAACAGTCCAAGCAAACAACAAGCAACAAGAAAAAAAACCGGAAAAAAGACATAATCGTCAAAAAAATTGCAGGTAACCATAAAAAATACAGTAAACGTGAATCGATCTTCGTAAAGTACGTGCAAGACACGCACACTCATACATATACACATGTACACATGCACACGACACATGTATTATATACACATATATTGGCACATATTGCGATACAAGTTCACTCTCAAGCGCGTCGCAAAAAAAAAAAAATGTTGCTCTAAAGATATGAAAAAAGAAAAGAAAAAATAAACTATATATTTAAATACACTCGTGACACAAATACAAAGACACGATATACACATATACGAAAGCGACGCGATTTCGACAACCATGTGACAGAAAACGCAGAAAGCGAATTCACTCGCAGAAGTAAAAGAAGAAAGATAGAAAAGAGGGTCGAGGGACGTTCTAAACGTAGACCCGTCGGCGTCGCGCGATTTATATAGCTATATTGTATTATGCATGTCGATATACGGTCACATATAACGATGGAAAATGAAAGTAAACCAAATGAAACAAAATGAAAAAAAAAAAAAATGGAAAAAGTAACTGAAAAAAAGTTAAAATGCCGGACAGGGAGACCGGGCGTCCCCCCATTAAAATAATAATTACACGTACATACTCACTCACATAACACATACAGAGTACATCGACGCGTACGACGTACATTACGTCGGCGTTGAAACGTTTCATTTTGAAAGTACCTTGCGCGAGTCGTCTCGAATCGTTTAAGTACAAAAAGAAATAAAAAAATAAAAAGAAAGAGAGAAAGAAAAGAAGAAGGAGAAGAAATGCTGTCTCGATGGACGAGATGCGTGCGATCCACGTTCCACGCGATTCAGAAACCAGGGTATTGAGTATTAATTCGTGGATTCGGTGAAGAAATCAGGTTTCCTTTTTTGTGTTTGAGGCCATCAGCGACGAGCATCTTTTGCGTGGGTTGTATATGAATCGGAGGGATTCACGATGCTGAGTGGTAAATTTGAGGAAATCGCGTGTCACGCCTCTTTCGTTAAATCCCCGACAGGCATTAATGAGTTCCTGGAATCAAATTGGTTGTAAGAATTATATTTAAACGATGTTTTGCCTGTTCAATTCAAAAGGTTGTAGACGCAACGCGAATCCCTTCGCGTTCGTTTTCAAAATGTTTCTATTTTTTTGAATGAATGAAAACGATATGCGAATAAAAAATACATTCGTATATTATTTCAAAGAATATTTATTAAAAAACGCTGAACACAAATAATATATATACGCTTTGTTGCGCTGATTTTTCGGCTTTATTAATATTATGTACATTTATCTAACATGCATTTTTTATCGCTGTTTTTAAACGCTGTGAGTATGAGATACAAAAAAAAAAAGATTGAATTATGTTCTTCTCAAAGTTCAAACCTGTTTTCATGCAATCTCGTGTTATTTTTTTTTTTTTATATATCTATACGCTTTAATAGATTTGACAGATTTCAAATGTTTTAATCAGTGGATAACGTATGAAATTTCTAACGCACAGACATAAAACCATGATACTTCTTGCGTCGCGTGAAACGTCGAGCAAAATATAATAAAATGAAAAACTATCATTTTTAATTATTGTCGTCGATAACCTCGTAAATAATTGGTAATTATTGTAGCCATAATTTGTTCGTTGTCCTATCTTGCAAAACGAATGTTAAAAAAAAATGGAGAGAGAGAAGTTATATAGTATGGAGGAATGTGAGTTCGCAGTGAAAACAGATGTCCGGTTCGCATTCTTGAATTTCGCGAATCTTTCGGTATTAATATATTAATTACGTATACAAATCGCTAATTCATTCCACGTTCTATTGAAGTTGAAACACAGTCTCTCGAAGACGAGCGCGCATTCACAAGTAGTACATCTTAAAAAAAGCACATAATATCCATGATTATTCAATAATTTAGATATTGATGATTCAAAATTAAACAAATTATCTTAAATTTTGCTTTATGATACTGACTAAATATATATGCATATTTTACATTTTTTATAAAATACAATTCGTATAAAATACTTAAAAATTGTATTAACAATATATATATATATATATGTAATTAAAAGAAGAAAACAATATTTAAAGCAAAGTAACAGTTGCTTGATTCTATATTTTAATGTGCTAATAATAACAATATAGATAATGACTGAATTTAATTAAGACTGAATTCATCAATCTATCATCTTTCATCTTTTTATTCTCTGAATAAATGTCTGAATAAATGTCCCTCTTTCATTTAATTTTCATTTAAGAGTATTAAATGAACTCTGCCTCTATTAAAATATTTCGATCAGTTAAGCTTATTAATGACATATCAATGAAATCTTTCATCGAGTCGAAAAAAAATATAAAATAATAATTTCGATTAGAAAGTCGATCTGGATGTCATGTGCTTTAAAAGATCAAATGTACATAGCGTATACATAATGAAGAAAAATCGGCGTGTAGTATACGAAACCTTACGATTCGCGATGCCGAAAAGGAAGATAATTATGTTTTGAGCCGCGTTGCCATTCATAGGGCATGCGACCATGCCACTTGTTTCAATCGACTCAATTCGATTAATTAAAACCCCATTTGATTCGCCTAAGGTTTTCAACCGTGTATGCCTCACAGACAACGAATCTCTCGACTTGCTAAGCGACTCGCGACTAGCAATAGTTTCTGCAATCTCCTCAATACAATTATTTTAAGTGCATAACTATTGTCACGTAGGACAGGACTTATAAATCGTTGAAAATAAAATGTCAAAAAAAAAAAAAAAAAAAAAAAAAAAAGAAAAGAAAAAGTATACGCTCGAATCGTTTCCCTACTTGAAATTTTGCAAGATCTGTTAGTCGCGTTGTTTTAGAACTATTTATGAATTCTAAATCCGAAGCGAAATATCGTAAAATGAAACAAAATATTATTGAGATGCAAAATTTTGCAAATATTCTACATTTGCTATAAAAACTCAGTTCCTCTGTGACGTGTTGAGATTATACGCGTGATTTGGAGCCTAAATCGTTGTACAATTGTTTATATAGAACGAATTTATATTATATAGAACGATGCGAAAAAATGTTAAGTGTGCTTGTAAGTGTGTTGTATGATGATTTTTGGCATTTCAATATTCGTTTGCGGTTCACGCTGAATAAGTCTTGTCTTACACATTCGCACGCATTGTATTTAAATCACCAAAAAAATACACTGGTACGTATTTCTTCTCCAAACGGCACTTCTAAAAAAAAAATATGCAACGATAAACTGGTCTATATTATATCAGAAATTTTAGAACTAAGTTTCAAGAGTTATCAGTATTATTTTTATGCCATCGCTTTCCTTCTTCTTAGACTATAAATAAAATAAATACAAAAATTATTTATCATTGAATTTTATAATAATTTAAAGTTTATTAATTCCATTAATAAATTTCATTAACTAAAAATTATTTCATTTACTAAAAATTAAATAAATTAAACGAGTTCTCGGAAATAAAAGAATGAAAAAATAATAAAAATAAGCGGAAAAATCGAATGAAAGCGATGTCTGATTTGAAATGTGAAAAACTTAAGAATAATATAACTTGAGAAGAGAATCACGAAATAAGAGAAATAAATAAAAAAAAGCATTTTAAATAAGACATGTCGGGGAGTTTTCGCGAAAATAGAGCCAATGGAGAAGAAACTAATCGGGCGGAAAGCAACGCTGCTTCATTCATCCCCGTAAAAGCATACTTGCGATTATGAGATCCTAAAAAAGAGTGAAAGACGGGAAAAAAACGAAAAGTACGTCAAGAGAAAGCTATATTGAAAGACCTAGGTTGTTACAATCATTTAAAAAAATTTCTTGCAAGAATGCATACAAGAAGTAGCGTACACTTGCTGTACACTCGTTGCTACGGATAAATATGCAAATTAAAAAAAAAAAAAAGTCGATTTGATTTGTATATGTACACGGTGAGCCCGAGGTTCGTGCGAGAATAGGTGTATTTATGTGAAATAACGAGAAATGAGAAAGAGATCTTTCGAAATCGATACTCGTTTCTTTCTGGTTCATTGTTAGTAATCAATCAATGAACGAATCGCTTTATTCTCATAAACGCTAATGTCCTCAATGGCGATCATTGTTATTATACGAACGAACTCAAGAAGGCATGGTATACAAGACTAAAAACAAGACCTAAAATGGGGACATAATATTTTATAACTCAACTTTTGTACAGAATAAATAAATACTTGTACTGTGGACCAATATTTCTTTTATTTCATTCGCATATCTACGATTCGATTTCACAGTGAACGAGAATTCAAAGATAGCATATTAGGAATAGATATAAAAAATTATGAAATAGTAAACAATGCATTTTTTAATATATGTACAATAAAATTTGTTCAGACTAAATATATAAAAAAATTATATGATTTATATTTGCTTAAAAATTTAAATTCAATTTACAACTCCAAAAAATCTTTTTTTACATATTATAAACTATTTATTTTTTGTTTGAATTAATGGTATTATAACAATGACATTTTTTGCTTCTGGTATACGCCACCATCTTCCAAGCCTATGTTCTTGACCAATTCCAGCAATAAGTTGAGTTCCGTCTGGAGTGAAACACAATGCATTTACAAACCCTGTTAATTCAATCTCAAACAATGGATTCAGTGATCTAAAGGAATCACTGCATTGCCATAATCTAATAACACCATTTTGTGATCCTACATTCAATAATTATAATAAAAAAATATATATAATTTATATATGAATAATACTTAAAAAATACTTTATATACTTAAAAAAATACATCATACCTGATGCAACTAAATCTGTATTAAGAAGAGTAGCTATACTTGAAATCCACATTGGTTGATTATTACTTTTATCTCTTCCATGTGCATCTAGCACTGAACACAAAGGCTTTTTCTTTAAACAACCCCAAACACATAATTGTCCATCGGCTCCACAACTTAAAAAATGTTCTTCATTTATAAGTTTTACAGTATCTATACTACTGCCATGTCCATTGAATATAAGTTGCGACTCTTCAACAATTTTCCAAATTCGAATTGTGCCATCGAAACCACCACTGGTAATAGCTCGTTCTCGTGTAAGTGCATCGATCGATGTAATACCATTTTGATGTCCAAATCTAACAAAATGATGCATTTTTAAAATAAAATTAAGTTAAATCAAAAAAGATAAAAATATACTTACAAAGATTCAACATATGCCATATCATCTAAATTCCATACTTTTACGCTTCTATCCTCGGAACCAGAATACAACGTATGCGTCTCTTTACGAAAAACTAAACAAGTAATATTACCTCTATGACCTTGTAAATTTTTTATGTGATTTAATGTATTTCCACAAAATACCATAATATTTTTAGAACCATTATCTCCTACTACCTTAAATGATAAAAATAAATATTTATATTTATTTATGAATATATAAATGAAATATTATAAATACAAGTTTATATATTCTTACCAAAAATTTACTATCAGTACTAATTGCCAAACATTGAACACATTTTATTCCATCCTGTGATTTTCTTTTTCCTTTTATAGCTTTTAATTTTGTTCTCTCTTTCAAAGACCCTAATATATAATATTCATTTATTATTATTATATAATTATATAGTACAAATTGTTATTATTATAATTTTTTAATCAAAAATATCATACATTTGACTAAACTACCATCTTTTGAACCAGAATATAAGAATCTTCCATTACTAGAGAGACATAAGCATGTAATTGAACTTTTATGTTCTTTACATTTTAAAACAATAGGTTCACCATGATTAATATAATTTGAAGCTACAGTTTTCCTTAATCTTCCCTTTTCTTCTAAATATTCTTCATGTAATCTTTTTGTTATTGCTCCTTCTTCAAATTCTGCTCTATCTTTTTCTATATTTATATAAATTTAATATTAAAATATGAATAATATAATATGCAAAAATATATTTTATTCAAATTTTACCTTCTTCTTCAATTTGTGCAAGATATTGCTTTGCAAGTCTTATACGTTTTTCCTGAGCTGTTTCCTCTTCTTCTTCACTTTCATATTCTTCATTTCTACTAAACATAATAATAATTAAAAAAAAAAACTTAAAAAATTTGATAATATAAATATACCTTTGATTTTCTTCTGCAATTTCTTCATCTGTACTCGCAATACTTTCATTATCATCAGGTACAGATTTATTTATATTTTTCTTTTTTCCTTTTTTTTTAATATGTTGATTTAACTAAAATATAATAATATTAAATTAAAATATCATAAAATAAATTTTTTGTACAATATTTATTGTGTTTTATAATAGAATAATCTCATAAAAAATTACTAAAAATCATATAATATATATATATATATATATATATATTATATCAATATATAATTTATATATATAATTTACCTTTCTTTTAATTCCTCCGCTATTTTGTTTATTTCTAATAAAAAATGACATTTTTAAAAATATTTTTAAGTGAATTTTAACCTATTTTATTTTAACCACATGGCATATTTTTCATATAAATAAGTACTGCCAATAGTTATAGTCAGAATAGCACTATAATATAAAGTTATAAAATATTTAGTAAATTTTTCAAATAATATAACATTGGTAAACCTGCATGATCACAAAATATGTAGTCATATTATAATAGTCATATTATAATATGCAGATAATCACAAATATTTTTTATAATTAAAATTATTTTATTTCTTATTATAACTTAATTTTTGTATACAGTAAAAAAGTCATGACTGAAAAAAAAAGAGTACTTATGATTTGTTTAGGTATGTTAAAATATTATTTGAATAGATAAATATAAAAAATTTTATAGTAGTAATATGATTTTTATTTATAGGAAATCTTTGTCGTTCTCCTATAGCAGAAGCAGTTTTTAATGATCAAATAAATAAGTTAGGCTTAAGTGATTCATGGGAAGTAGATAGTGCAGCTATTATAGGATATCATATAGGTAAAAACCCAGATCATAGATCTATGTCTATAATAAAAGAAAAAGGTATCACCAATTATTCTCACAAAGCACGGCAAGTAAGTAAATATATTATATATGTATATGTTTATATTAATATATTTTATTATTATTATTTATATTAATTTATTTTATTATTATAGATCACAAGAGATGACTTTATTAAATTTGATTGGATACTTGCAATGGACAATAGTAATATTCAATATTTAAATACTATGAAACCTCCTAATACTACTGCTAAAATTGAACTTTTAGGAAAATATGATCCTCGAGGAGAACTTACAATTCGAGATCCTTATTATGTATATTATTTTAACATGTTAATTTAAAATTATAACATATAAATAAATAATAATATCTATTGCATGAAGGTTATATTGATAAATATTTTATTGTAGGATGTTGACATTGCTGGATTTTATAAGGTATATGAACAATGTTTGCGAAGTTCAAAAGCATTTTTGGAAAAACATAAAAGTACTATTAATTTTATTAAATTTTTTATAATTCATAATTTTTTTTTTTAAATATAATAACAATATTTTTCATTTTTAGATAAATAATCAGATTGAAGTTTTAAAGTAATTTAAATGATATTATTGAAATATCATATATACATATATTATTTAAAAATTCTTAAAAACAATAAATATTCATTACAAAATTAAAATATTAATTTGTTATTATTTATCATTTTCTAAAACATTTTTTTTATTATTTTTTATATCTGAATCAAATTTTTTTTTTATTATATTAATTTTGTGCATATATTTATGTAACTATTTATACACAAAAATTATTTATAATCAAATATATAAGTTTTGCTTCATCTTATTAAAATTTCTTACATAACCTTAAATATTTTTCCAAGTAAAAGTTAAGCATGACATCAAAAAAAAAAGTATTAATGGTGTGTTTAGGTATATTTTTAGATTAAGAAGTATTATTTTTTTTACAGTAATATAATAATTTAATATATTTCATCAATATTAAATTTTTTAGGAAATAGTTGTCGTTCTCCTATAGCAGAAGCAATATTTTATGATGAAATAAAAAAATTAAATCTTCTTAATTCTTGGGAAGTAGATAGTGCTGCACTTTTGAAATATCATGTAGGTAACAATCCAGAACCCAGAGCTATGTCTACACTTAAGAAAAGAGGCATTGTATATTATACTCACACAGCAAGACAGGTATTAATTAATTTTTTATTTAAAAAATAAGATAATAAATGTTATCATATTTTCAGATAACAAAGGAAGATTTCTACAAATTTAACTGGATATTTGGAATGGATAATAGAATAGTTTATGATCTATTTCAAATGCAACCAGAAGATAGTCAAGCAAAAATTGAACTCCTTGGAAAATATGATCCAAATGGAGAGTTAAATATACAAGATCCATTATTTGTAAGTATTATTATAATATATGTAATATTTATTTATGTATAATAACTTATTTATATATCATTATATATTGTTTTATATTATATATATATTTTTTATATTTTGTATAATATATTTTTTTAATTATAGGATAATGATTGTGTTGGGTTTGAAAAAGCATTTGAACAAGCTGCAAGAAGCATAAAAATATTTCTAAATCAACATAAGGATATATATTTATAATGTTATATTTACATACTAATTTAATAAAAAATATATTTTTTTATTATTTCATTTTGAAATAGTAAGAAATAATTTATTTTATATAGTCTATAAATATATAACATGAATAATTATGATTACATTGTTATTATTATATAAATTAAAATAGTCCTTATAACAATAATGAAAAATATAAACAATGAAACATATATAAAATGAGATATATATATATATATATTATTTTTACTTAACTTTACATCCTCTTACATATACTTCAACTATATTACGATCATCACCAGAATATATGAATTTTTGAAGTTGTTCTTTTAAAGTATTATTTTGAAAAGTGTTCAAAGGTCCATCACTTATATTTATATCCACAACAAGAGCATCAAATTCCTTACCTACTTCAAAATTTCCTACCTGATTATCAATCGCAAGTGCTAAAAAAATATTATATTAAATAAAAATTCAATAATATAATAAATTCTCTTAATTCTGAAAACATTACCTGCTGCACCTCCTAAAGTAGCCATATGAAATACATCTTTATAATCAAGGGCTTTATAATTATCCTTAATTAAAGATAAATGGCTTGATACTTGTAAAGCTGATTTCATTGCATCTAAGATACTACAACTCTGTCCACCTGAGACATCTGAAAATGTTTCATTAAAATATAATCATAATAAAATTATGAAATAAATATAATGTATGTACCAGTGCCAAGACCAATTTTGACTCCTTTACTTTTCAGTCTTTGAACATCACAAAGACCACTTTTTAAACATGTATTTGACGAAGGACAGTGTATAACTGCTGCACCACGTTCATTTAATAATGCAATTTCATTATCCGAAAGATATATTCCATGAGCTAACACTGTCTAAAAATAGATAAGACATTATGATCTTTTTATATTTTATTATATAAATATTTAACATACCTTATTTGTAAGAAGTCCAGCATTATCATACACAGCAGTATATGAAGAATATTCAGGATATTTTTTCTTTACTTCTTCTATTTCATTTAAATTTTCTGATATATGAGTCTAAAATATTTTATTTTATATTAAATTTTTTTATATTATATAAAAGAATTGATGAAAAATATATAAAAATATATAAATATATAAATATATAAAAATATATAAAATAAAATTAAAAATATTTAAAAAATATATAATTATTTATTAGTTTATTTATCCATGACATTAAACAAATAAAAATATTATTTTTTAATATTTATAATACCTGTATATGAAGATTTTTCTGTTTTGCTAAATTTCCTAATTCCTTCATTAATGTCATATCACAACTTAAAGCAAATCTTGGTGTTATAATTGGTTTTATGAGAGGACTCTATAATGATAATTATATGAATAAGACTTGATATTTATATAAATAAAAAATTAAAATACAAATTTAAATAATATTCAAATCTTACATTTAATTTAATCAAATCTTCTATAAATTTATTTATATTTTTCATAGATTCTTCAGTAGTTTCATAATAATTATCATTACGTTTTTCATTCATACTTATTTTCCCAATAAAAGCACGTTGACCTATATTAATTGCTATTTGTCCAAGTTTTACAGATGCTCTTGAATATAAAGATGCAAAATAACATGCTGTTGTTGTACCTTTTATTATAGTTTGTTTCTATAATTAAAAAATAATAATTATAGAATATAGTTGATTATATGAAACAATCTTAATACTTTAAAGCAATCTTAATACTTTAATTACTTAAATACTTAAATACTTTAATTTTTTAAAGCAATCTTAATACTTTAATATTATATTACATTAAACTTACTACAACTGTATTAAATACTTGTTCAGCAAATATTTCATCTATATATTTTTTCTCTAAAGGAAAAGTATAATGTTCCAACCATTCTAAAAGTTTTTTATCATATCCAACTCCTAGATTAGGAAGTTGAACAGCATGAATATGACAATCAATGAATCCTGGTATTAAAAATTGATTGTTTTTAAGAACTCTCACATTTTTATCTTTTATGTCATTTAATTTTGGATTTATTATTATATTAGTAATCTAAATTTTAACAAATTTAAATTTATTTAGAATTAACAAGATTATATAACAAATAATATAATGTAAATTATGTATTAAATGTAATATTTAATTTAAAATAAATATATATAATGAAATTAAAAATTAAATATAAATAAAAACTTATTGATAAATAAGTTAAATAAATACCTTGCCATTTTCAACATGTATCATTCCACGATCAACAACAATCAATTCTCCGTATTCGTTAGTATGAATAAACGATCCGAGAAATATTTTTTCTTTTGAGGATTGAGACATTATATTAAATTTTCTTGATTTTCTATTATTTTAAATTTTTACTGTAATTATAAATATTTTTTTTACTTTTCTTTTATTTATAATTGATTTCTTTACGACAGATTTTTAATTTATATTTTTTATTTTTATATATCACTTATAATAATATGAAATATATCGATTTAACAAAAAAGTAAAACCAATATTGTGCCGAAAAGATATACGAATCTTTATTCAAATTATATTACATTTATTTAATATTATATTCATTTTTTTATATTTATCTTCATATATTATAAAAAATAAAAAAAGAAAAAAAATATGAGCGTAAAAAAAGAACAAAAATCTGAAATATTACGAAAATCGGATAAAATAATAGATAGTCATCGAGAATTCTTAGATATGGATACAGATGAAGAAAATATTGGGCATCAAGGTAAAGTAATTAAATATATAAATTTTGATTATAATCTTTATAAAAAATGGTCAATTATTTAAAATTTATTATATATAATAAAATTTATAAACTTTGAATTTAAATATTTTTAACTGATAATTTTATTAACAATTTTAATTAATTTTAATTTTTTATAATTGAAATAACAATTTATAATATTTAATGATATTCTAGAGATACCTGAAATTGAAGAAGAACTTTCTTCAGAACCTGAGAAACCAAAATTTTGTGAAGAAGATCTAATTAAATTAGTAAGAATATAACTAACAATAATTTTTCAATAATTCAAATCGATATTTTGAATTATATATACAAATACGTATATAAATTGAATAATTAGTGTGCATTAATATAAGATAATATATCATAACATATTTATTTTTCTATAGATAATATATTGCAAAATACATTTATCTATAGATATGAAATATATGATTTTTTACAAATATACTTTAGTGAAAATAATTTTATCGTAATGACCTCTGGATGTTTTAAGATTCTCTAATCGTGAATGACGTAATGTAATAAGAATAGTACTACTATTCATACGATCTATTTTTAGTATCACTATTTCATACGATCTACTGAAATGATTTAATATAATTTAATAATATATTTGAACATGTTTGTAGGTAAAATATGTAAAAAATTTAACGATATGTTCTTATAATGATATAAGTTGGAACAAACAATCAGATGAAATAATTAAAGAATATTTTAAAGATCCATCACATATAATGCTAATTACATTTTATGATAAAAATGAATTAAATGCCATGTTAAATATTCCGATACATGTATCTATGGGATTTACATATTTCCTAAGATCTCCATGGCAAATTTATACTCCAGAAAATTTTTTAAAGACTATTTTATTTGGTAATATTAACAAGAACATAAAAAATAGTGTTTTGAAATTTATGGAAAATATATATGCACCAATTGTACTTCACAGTGAGGATTACGCATCATGTATCCAAATAAGATAAATTTAGAATATCATAATTAAAAAATTGTTTAATTATAATAAAATTCTTCATTTCTTGAATTATTTTTTATATATATTATTTTCGAATTCTTTTATATATATTTTTTCCTTTTAATTAAAACTTATTATTTTATTTCCAATTTATTATCTTTAAAAAAAAATAATCTATTGAAATTGAAATTTTCCATAATGAACAGTTTTAAGACATGATGTATTTTTGAATTTACATGAATTTATTTCACGTTTAATGGATGAAATTTATAAACCAATGGGTCTGACTATTTTATATGTACCAAAGGAACGTCTTCTTCAAACTTTTTTAAAATCTTCGAATAAAAATGATTATATTTCATTAAATACAAATAAAATATCAATCTTTTCGGAAGAAGATGAAAAAAAACGAAAATTAATTGAAAGATTAGATAAAATAGTTTGGTTTTGGATTGGACAAATGCATAGGGCAACAATAACATTGAAATGGAGAAAAATTAAAAATATACAAGATGAAGTTGATTATTGGAATGCAAAGCGTTAGTTTCTCATTATTATATTATATTATAATTAGTTATTTTAATTTTTTATTTTCATTTATTATTTTTTTACTTCAATTACTATAAAAATATTTATTTCAAATTATATTTATTTCGATTTCATATTTTAAAATTATAAAAAATACATTCTTTATAGGTTCAAATTTAAACCTCTTACGTACTCAATTTCTTAATATAGAAGTTCAATTAATTATTGATATATTAAAAAATTTGCGTTTTCCAAGTGCATTTAAATTAAAGGAATTAATTATGTATACTGATATAAAATTTGAAGAAGCGTCATCAAATTTAATTTATTTGAATATTGTATTTAATTTTTGTAAAAATTTACAAATTCCAGATAATATTGAAAATTCTTTGACAGAATTATTGCTTCTTATATTATTCGTTTGGATAGAATCGCCATTTTATTTTAATAAGTAAGAATATATAATCAGTTAAAAAAGTAATCAGTTAATAAATATGTTTAAAATCATAATATTTTTAGGAATAATATGGAAATATTATGTCAAGCATTAAGTTCACAAATAATGGAACAATGTATAAATTATATTAATTTAGATATTGCTTTTAGAGATGATCCTGAAATAGGAATACAAATGCTAAAAAAATGTATATTCTGTTGCAATATTTATAAAACAATTTATGATCATGTATGTAAATAATTTATCGAATAATATTCTTCATATTAATAATCATTATGTATTATTACCGTTATTGTATACCGCTATATTGCTATATCATTTACATTAGTAATTTGTTAAAATTTATTATAGATT